TTAGTCTATCTTTTAATAATATTTCGAATGAAGCTTTATATAAATATGTATAAAATATTTATATAACATTTCAAAAAGTGAATAATAATAAATATTTATAAATATTCTGTGCTATCTGGGATCAAGATAGAATAAAAACGTTTCCATGTATTACTTGAAAAGAGAAAAGAATTATTTTCAAATTACTATATTTTGAAAATGAAATATTACATCGAAATGAAATAAAATTCATTTTAAAATTAAAAGTTGATACTTTCGCGACATTAATAAAATTTAGAAAAGTTTTTATCAATGCTGTATGATGTCATAAAAACCTCTAAAGTCATTTTTATCTTTTTAATGTTGTTTTTCTTAAAATTGTGATATGATAACCTTTGGCATGATAGAATTTGGCATATTCGTGTTCCGCAAGCTAAAAAAAAAATATCGGAAACTATTCACACTCATGTGACAAAATGACATGTTGGACATTATGTTTTCATATTTTCAGACCAAAGGATTCACAGGTTATCGCTGTGTCGTGATTCATTGCTAATGCTAACATTGCCAACATTTTGTGAACTTTCCGTTCATTTCATCAGAGCATCATTATTTTTCATATTTTTTTCAATTTTCATCAATTATCCATAACATTCTATTTTCTCTATTAAATATTGTTGATAAAATCGTTATTCATCATTTGCAAGACTTTTAGTAATAGACTCTCATCAAATGTAATTTTTCATCAAATAGTATTGGTTGTCCGGAAAGTTCGTGCCGATGTTGAAGGAAAATTGAAACGTAAAAAATTTTAATTTAATAAATGCATAAAATTTAAATTTTAATCGGCACGAACTTTCCGGACAACCCAATAATTTCATCAAAATTAACGTGTATATTGGGTAGTGTTTCCTTATTAATTTGTGCTATATTAAGTAATTTGTAATAAAAAATAGTAATTTATCTTCTCTACAATCATTACATTATAGACAAAAGAACGTTTTGATTGAATTTTTATTTGCTTATTAAATTTATAACAAATAATAAAAGAAATGAAAGTATTTACCGAAATTAAATTTGATTCTGTGTACGTGCTAATAATTTGAAATAAGACTCTATAAAACGTGCTTTATATATATATG